AGTAGACAGCATGCAAGAACAGACATGCAATGTAAACTGAGATGGAAATTCTAAAACAGAACCAAAGAGAAATGCTAGTGAGCAAAAATTCTGTAGCAAAAATGAGGAATGCTTTTGATGAGATTAATTCGTAGACTGGACGCAGCTAAGAAAAGAATCTGACCTGAGGATATCTCAATAGAAACCCCCAAAACGGGGAGGGGTGAGGATTGAAAAACAAAACAGAATACTCAAGAACTGTTAGACAACTACAAAAGCTATAAATTATGAGTAACAGGAATAACAGAAAAAGAAAAAGATAAAAATAAAGCAACAGAAGAAATTGAATCAGTAATTAACAACCTCCCCAGAGTACACCATACTGAAATGGGTTCACTGGTGTATTCTAGTGAACATTTAAGGAAGAAATTATACCAATTCTCTACTACCTGTTTCAGAGGCTAGAAGCAGAGGGAATAATTCCTAACTCATTTTCAGAGACTAGCATTACCCTAATACCAAAACAAAAGACATTACAAGAAAATTTCAGACCAATATTGCTCATGAACATTGATGCAAAAATCCTCAACAATGAACTACCACTACACATCTATTAGAATCCAAAATCTAGAACACTGAAAACACCAAATGCTGGTGAGGATGTGTAACAACAGAAACTCTCATTCATTGCTGGTGAGAATAGTGCAGACACTTTGGAAGAGACATTGGCAGTTTCCTAGAAAACAAACATACTCTTATCAGCAATTGTGCTCCTTGGTATGTACCCAAAGGAGTCAAAAACTTATGTTCACACAAAAACCTGTACATAATTGTTTATAGTAGCTTTATTCATATTGCCAAAACTTGGAAACAACCAAGATGTCTCCTTCAGTAGGTGAATGTATAAATGGTGGCATATCCAGACAATGGAATATCATTCAGTTTTAAAAAAGAAATGTACTATCAGGCCATAAGAAGACATAGAGGAACCTTAAGTGAATGTTACTAAGTGAAAACAGCCAATCTGAAAAAGCTATATACCGTATGATTCCAACTACATGGCATTCTGGAAAAGGCAAAACTATGGAGATAGTAAAAAAAGATCAGTGGTTCCCAGGTAATGTGGGGACAAAGCAGGGATCAATACACAGAATAGAGGAATTTTAGGGCAATGAATCTACTCTGTGTGACACTATAGTGATGCAACATATCATTATAAATTTGTTCAAACTCAGAACATACACCACCAGCAGTAAATCCTAATATGAACTATATAGACTCTGGGTGACAAAAATGTATCAATGTAGGTTCATCGATTATAAGATTATAAAAAAAGTACCACTCTGGTAGGGGATAGTGATAATGAAGGAGGTGATGAATGTGTAGGGGCAGGGCACCTTCCTCTTAATTTTGTTATGAACTTAAAACTGCTCTTAAAAAATAAAGTCTTTAAGTAAAAAAATTAAAAATGTAAATATGAAACAAAACAAAACATTGGACCAAAGTGTTACTAAACCTGGGTTTACTTCCAATCCTGCTACTAACTAGCTGTGCAAGTCACTCACTTCCACTTCCTGGGCCCTAATTTACTTATCTGCGAAAGAAGAAAAATGGGTCTCATGACATCTAAGGTTTTTTCCTGTTCTAAATTTCTATGGATAATGCTAATTGTTTCTTTCTATTTTAAAGTTACAAATACCCTAAAAACCTATGTAGGGGCTTCCCTGGTGGTGCAGTGGTTGAGAGTCTGCCTGCTGATGCAGGGGACACGGGGTCGTGCCCCAGTCCAGAAAGATCCCACATGCCGCGGAGCGGCTGGGCCCGTGAGCCATGGCCACTGAGCCTGCTCGTCTGGAGCCTGTGCTCCGCAACGGGAGAGGCCACAACAGTTAGAGGCCCACGTACCGCAAAAAAACCAAAACAAAACAAAACAAAAACCTATGTAGGATTTTCTATATCAGATCAAATAAAATGGAATATGGCCACACAGACACACATACAAAAGTATCTATGAAAATGAAAACAAAAAGATTAGGGAGTGACAAGTTTTGAAGATTTGTTTTTTAAACAGTTTAGTTCAGACATGATTGACTTAAACTGCTCATATTTCAAATATCCACTTAGAGTATCAAAACTAAAAGTTTCCTCCTGGCCTTTTAAATTTATCCTTCTCACCATATGAAATTACCCTACCTGCACATACTCTACCCTTTGTAATGGCTATTTTCAAATATATCCCAAAATGGAAAAGACTAGTAAGAAGTAATGATTCTGTCATTATTATTTCATGGTTGTTCTTATTCTCTATATCCCAATGCACTTAGTGGTTTATTTATAATCACAGACATCATGTCAGTTCACATATAACCCCTTCAGGATGTGTTTCTAAAATGTAAAGGGCCTTATATAACTCCAATAACTTTGTTGCAAAAAATCAAAATACTTCAAATTATGATAAACTGTTGTAAGTGCTGAATTTTGTCAACTGTATTATTGCAGATGCAGATTGATTGCAATCTGGATACAAAATTTATCTTAGGCAATAATTAGGTGTGTCTTACATGTTTTTTAACCTCTATGTACCATTTACCATTTTTAAATTCATATTATTCACTTGATGAAGCTGCTAAGCCATTTGTTCATTAGAATTTGCCACAATCTAAATTTGGTTTATTGAGTCTTTCAAAATGTTTAACATACTCACTCTTCTTCCATATTTCCTGTACACAAGCTATGCTCAACATCATGAAATATCAGGGAAATGCAACTAAAACCACAGTGACATAATGCTATATATTTACTAAAAAAGTCAAAATTTTAAAAGCTAACCATATCCACTTTAGCAAGAATATGGGAGAACTGGAACTCTCATACACTGCTAATAGGCATACAAAAGGAAACAATCATTTTAGAGGACAATTTGGTGTTTCTTAAAAAGTTTTATAGGGCCTTCCCTGGTGGTACAGTTGTTAAGAATCCACCTGCCAATACAGGGGACACAGGTTTGAACTCTGGTCCGGGAAGATCCCACATGCCTCAGAGCAACTAAGCTCATGTGCCACAACTACTGGGCCTGCGCTCTAAAGCCAGTGAGCCACAACTACTGAGCCCATGTGCTGCAGCTACTGAAGCCCACGTGCCCTAGAGCCTGTGCTCTGCAACAAAGGGAAGCCACCGCAATGAGAAGTCCGCTCACCGCAAGGAAGAGTAGCCCCTACTCGCTGCAACTAGAGAAAGCCCACGCAGCAATGAAGGCCAAATGAAGCCAAAGAAAATAAATAAAATAAATTTTAAAAGTTATATATTACCTACACTATGATTCAGGTATTGCATTTTGATGTGTTAACACAAGAGAAAGGAAATATGTCAATATGAAGAACTGTATCCAATTTCTGTACCACTTTTATTTGCAATAGCCAAAACTGGAAACAATTAGAACATCCATAAACAGATGAATAAATAAATAAATAGTGCTATAGCAATACAACACACTTTTCAATAACATAAAAAGGATGAACTACTCATGTAAGCACCATGAACTGCAAAATAAATATGCCACATGAGGGCACCCAAGGAAAAAAAAGAAAAGACTTTATGATTTCAATCATATAAAATTCTAGAAAATGCAAACTAATTTGTTATAACGAAAAGCAAATCAATGGCTGCTTGGAGGACAAAGAGGTTATTAAAGGATTATTAAAGGTAAGTATGGAGGTGACAGAAACGTTTATTATAATGATTGATGGTTTCATGGATTTATATAGATATCAAAATTTATCAAATTTTATAGTTTAAATATAGATATTTACTGCATATAATTTATACTTATTAAAACTTTAAAAATATGATTCAACTTAAAATTCTGGATTTCCTACTCTAGAAAAGCAGTTTTGGCAACCATACTGACTCAATGGGCAGGTTCAGCACTTGCCTCAGGGGCAGCAAAAATAAGTGAGAAATTTTTGAAGTGGAAACAAAGACTATTTCCACTTCATTCAACAGGGATACTGGATGGGTCAAAAATACCATATCACTAGACTAAGAATCTCTCTTCTCTCTATCCTTGTTTTCCTGTTTGCACAGCAATGGCCTTAGATGAACAGCCCAGAGAAGCCACAGGAATCCACAAAACGTTTTTGTTTTTTGTTTTTTGTTTTTTTTTTTTGGTATGCGGGCCTCTCACTGCTGTGGCCTCTCCTGTTGCGAAGCACAGGCTCTGGACGCACAGGCCCAGCAGCCATGGCTCACAGGCCCAGCCACTCCGCAGCATGTGGGATCCTCCTGGACCGGGACACAAACCTGCGTCCCCTGCATCAGCAGGCAGACTCCCAACCACTGCGCCACCAGGGAAGCCCCACAAAACGTTTTGATAAGGCCTTCAGCTACACAGGATATACAGTTCTGGACGTCCTGAGAATTTCTGTACCTGCTCATCCTTCACAACCATAGTGACTAAACGTCGTGAGTGACCTTTTAAAAGAGGCACATTCTAACCATTATGTTGTAGTCTCCTCCACTCTCTATTAATCCAGTGTTTCTGTAACAATTATCACTTCCCTGGCCCCTTTAATCTTAAAATCATTGATGTTACCCTACAGAATTCAGGACATCAGGGCACATAGCTCTGCTGCAGGACCTGGGGAACAGATTTCCCTCAACAGTGCTGAGCACGATGAAATATCGCCTGTGAACAAGAGAATAAGTTTATGTTGCTCCCAAAAGCACTAAAGGTTGTCACAGCAACCAGAAACAGCCCCCTCCTCAGTTTGAACTCTGAACCTACAAAACATCATGGCATGCCATCTAAAAATTAACACCACAAAGCCCTGCAGTCTTTCCTTGGAGGTTTTGAGCAGCAATGCAACCTAGGCCAAAACTGGAGAGGCATATTCTGTCATCATACTGTCCCTGCCGAGGCACACAGTTTGGGATCCTGACCAGAGCAGTTCATCTCAAGCCAACAAACCCAGTTTACAACAAACCACCCCATACAGTGAACAGAACCCCTAAGATTAATGGTGTCTTAAACAATAAGACCTTTATTATTATACAAACAAGAGCAATGGGAGGCAGACTGTTCCCCAGGCTAGTGACTTGGAGGCTGGAAAATCCCATCACTAGAGTCTCATGAGATCAATAATATTATGAAAAATGTAGTCCATCTTTTCAAATCACCAACGGAGTCCTCTAGGCCAAAACTGGGTAAGGTCCATGATTTAACTCATAAGGGAGGAAAAAAAACTGGGAAAGACTAAGTGTTCAAGCTACTCATGAATCATCCCGCAAGTGGGAGAGCACTGGGGTTTCCTTCCTAGGTTGGGTGAATGTTGCACACTATGGGCATCTGCCAGGTGGTTAGAGGTGAAATGACTTCTGCTACAGAACTGGTGGTGACATAAATCTGGCAAGGGCCCTGGACAGGTTAAAAAGTGCAATGCAGCTCCCACATACCTGGAATTTAAGTGGATGTTTGGATGTATCTGGTTCAATACAGGCAAATGGCATCTTCATAAGGGATCTCCTCCTGTGTTGTTGCACTGAACAAAGAAATCGTATATACGTGCACATTGAAGGTAGTTCTCCCATTTGAAATCTGTGGTATCCCATGAGGTATGTTCTTCAGCGGAAGGCTTTCTCACACTCACTGAATTTATAAGTTATAAGGCCTTTCTCCACTGTGAATTCTCTGGAGTGTACTGAGGCTAGACTTTGGCCAAAGGATTTTCCCCATCTGCCATACTCATAAGGCTTTGCTCCAATGTGACACTATGGTGTTTTAGGAGTCTGGAGATGAATTTCCCACATTCAAGTGCACATAAAGCCTTTCTCCAATATGAACACTCTAGTGGTCACTGAAGTTGGACCTATGGGTAAAGGATTTCCCACATTCACAGCACTCATCAGGCCTTTAACCAGTGTGAACTCTTCGGTGTTTAATGAGGCTGGAGCTATGGCTAAAAGATTTCCCACATTCGCTGCACTCATAAGGCTTTTCTCCAGTGTGAATTCTCCTGTGTTTAATGAGGCTGGAGTTTTGAGTAAAGGATTTCCCACATTCACTACACTCATAAGGCCTTGATCCAGTGTGAACTCTCTGGTGTTTCAAGAGACTGGAGCTGTAAGTAAAGAATTTCCCACATTCGCTGCACTCATAAGGCCTTTCTCCAGTGTGAACTCTCCGATGTTGCAGAAGTGCAGAGCTTTGGCTAAAAGATTTCCCACATTCGCTGCACTTATAAGGCCTTTCTCCACTATGAACTCTATGGTGTTCAATGAGGCTAGAGTTCTGAGTAAAGGATTTTCCGCATTCACTGCACTCATAGGGCCTTGATCCAGAGTGAACTCTCTGGTGTTTTATAAGACTGGAGTGGTAGGTAAAGAATTTCCCACACTCACTGCACTCATAAGGCCTTTCTCCAGTGTGAACACTCCGGTGTTGAAGGAGTGCAGAGCTTTCACTAAAGGATTTCCCACATTCACTACACTCATATGGCCTTTCCCCAGTATGAATTCTCCGATGTTTAATGAGGTTGGATTTGTTGCTAAATAATTTTCCACATTCGTCACACTCATGAGGCCTCGCTCCAGTGTGAACTCTCCGGTGTTGAATGAGGCTAGAGCTTTGCCTAAAGGTTTTCCCACATTCCCCACACTCATAAGGCTTTTCCCCAGTATGAACTCTCCAATGGTCATTGAGGCTGTAGCTTTTGCTAAAAGATTTCCCACATTCGCTGCACATGTAGCATTTTTCTCTAGTGGGGACTCTTTGGTGCTGAAAAAGCATGTGTTTGCAACTAAAGTCTTCAGTACATTCTCCAGAGTTATAATGAGTTTTCTCCCTGTGAAAGGCAGCTCCACACTCAGTTCCCCTGTTTGACTTCTCCCTGGTGTATGTGGACTCCCCATGGGAAAGGGACTTCCCTGACACAAAAAATTTGCAGTCTTTCATAAATGAGGCTCTGTCCATGTTGCTTCTGAAGCATTTCTCGCCAATGTTCTGCTTTTGGTGCTGAAGTTTTGCACTGAAATACAACTGCTGCTCCCATGCCCCAATATCGTACAGTTTCTGCCTCTGGTGCTCAGTCAAGTGCAAAATGTCTCCCAAGTCCGGGCCGCATATCTCACAAAAATGGGCCTTTTGGGTGGACACACCTGCCTTGGGAGTACTGACCTGTGACATTCTATTTACAGAAATGCTCTGTTCAGGAGGTGCCTCTTCATCCTCTGCTCCATGCCAACAACCTGAAAGCAAGTAATGCTGGTGAAGTGCACATTGACTTTGGTCAGAGGGGACAGCTACTACAAAAGTGTGTGTAACAAACCTAGGAACCTGTCCATGGGATTGTTTGCAGGAGCAAGGAGTTGATTCCAGTTGAGGATGGGGCTGCTTAGCACTACTGAGCTATAAAGATCACAGAATGGGAGAGGTCTCATGAGGTGAAGGACACAACCTTGTGGTGGACACAAAAAGAAGAGACAGGGTATGCAATTCCTTCTTCTACAAAGAACTTTGAAAAGGAACTTGTCTGCTGGTGACACATGAACACTGTATAAAAGGGTTGTGCCAAGACCCAAGAAAATACGACTATAATAGGGCAGCTAGTCTTTAAGGACTGTTTAAGAATGTGTGCACACCTCATGAAACAATACATAGGGGGACTTCCCTGGTGGTCCAGTGGTAAAGAATTGCCTTTCAATGCAGGGGACCCAGGTTCTATTCCTGGTTGGGGAACTAAGATACCACATGCCACAGAGCAACGAAGCTCACATGCCACAACTACTGAGCTTGCGCGCCTCAATGAGAGAGAGAAAACCCACACGTCACAACTAGAGAGAAACCCATGTGCCGCCGCAACTAGAGAGAAGCCCGTGCGCCACAACGAAGACCTGACACAGCCAAAAATAAATAAATAAATAAATTTTTTAAAGTTAAAAAAAAAAAAAGAATACATAGGGGCCAATGCAGAAAGCACTGCAGTTGGAGTAGTGAGAAAAACGGGTGAGAGAGGAGTCCAGAGATGTGAGGTTAACCTCAGGTTGGAAATTAAGAGTAGCAGTGACAATAGAGATGATGAATTGGCCAAGTGTCAAGAAAGGGGAAGGAAGACAGAAATGAAGTGTGGCCACTGGCATCAAAATTCTGGTCAAACACAGTAAGTTTCTGGCATGATTTGATATGGCATTGTCATCATGCCCTCTATGTGCTACTATGCAGGACCAGGCTCCCTCTGAGTCATCTTGCTTGATTCATATACATACTGTGAACCTCTGTGGGCTCTCCAACCCAATCCCACTCCCTCACTGATCAAATACATGGCACCTTGATGATACAAGAAGCAAGGGATTTGATATCCTATGATAACCATAATGGAAAATAAAGAATTTTTTAAAAAGAATAATAATAAAAAAAGAACTGTTAAGTCAACAGGGAAGATAATGTTGGGCATGCTAAAGGAAGGAGAAGGAAGTGCACAAACCTCAGCCCAACGAACCACAGCACCAACCCAGGGAACTAAGGAAGGAAGCAGTGCCCGTGGTCCTGATGTGAGGACAGACTGCTCCTGGGGAAAAAAGGAAGGGCAGAGACTAGTTCAAGGCACAGAGGCAGGTTTGACAGCCTTACCCAAGGAAGTTATAAGTGCCAAGTTCTCCAGCATCACGTTGTGGTACAGGCATCTCTGAGCATCATCAAGGAGATCCCATTCCTCCCAGGAGAAGTACACGGCCACATCCTCAAAGGTCACACTGCCCTGGCAAGATGGAGACAGATGAAACCACAAACAGCCCCTTTCTCAGGGACAACAATCCATGCCCCATGCCCACCCTCCTCCCAAGCTCTCCAACTCAGAGGAGAAACCAGGCCCTGGCACCATTGGTGCCACTGTCTTCAAATGGTCCCATTGATCACTGGAACCAACCATCAACAAGAGGTATGTTGGCAAGTAGGTATCTAAGCTGTGGACCTGGCATAGAGGGATCCACACACTCATGCCTGGCTATTCCACTGGTGTGGCCAAGGTCACAAAAGTCTCAATACCAGGGCCCTGGGGTCATCAAGCATACTCCCTCTTCAAGTACGCATAATCCTTGAAACTGGATCCCACAGCCCATGCCTATGGTGGTCACCACCTCACTGTCCCACACCCCAGACTTCCAGACCTGTGTATTTAGCTGCTCACTTAATGCCTCCACTTAATGCTCTAGGAAACATCTCAGAAGCTCCTGATATCTCTGGGGAATATTACTCCTACTACCAACTTCCTCATCTCTGTTGATAGAGCTTCTATTCCCACACCTGCTAAAAAGACAAAACAAACAAACAAACAAAAAAACCAACCCTAGGAATATCCCTGAGCCCTGTTTTACTCCCTCATGGTTCACATCAGAAAATATAGTTGTCACTTTTAAAAACACATATCCAGAATCCAATCATACCTCCTAAACCATGACTCTGGTCCACTGACTCTCACCTGGATTATGGCAGTAGCCTCCAAACCCATCTTCCTTACTCCTTCCTCTAACCCACAGTCTATACTTCATGCAACAGCCAAATGTAGCCAGTTAAGACGTTGGTAATACTACCTCCCTCCTCTGATCGAAACCTCCCATCAATCACCAACTTCTCAGCAGTCATTCCAGTCCTAATTACTGTCCCCTGATCTTTATTCACACCTGAAAGAAAGGGGACTTTTCCTTTCCTGGAAATTCCCAGTTAAGTTTTACCTCAAGCATGTGCTACCAGTTTCTAGAATAACTTTTCACACCTGTTTACAATGGTTGCCATAAACGGAAACACCTTCACATAACCCTGGCCTTAGGGTTTCTCCAGGGCTTCCAGACCCCAAACTGGGGGCACGGCACTTACGAGTCGCAAGCAACCACAATCCAGAGAACATGTGGGTGGAGGTCAGAGACAGTGAGGGAATGGGGCACCCTCCACTTGGCTGTGTTGTTTCCAAAAAGCGCCTCTGCAGCCGTGGGAAACATGGAAAAAGCCAAGTCTTGAGGAATGAGTCTATGGCGGGGTTCGATGGGCTCAGACCTCCCTATATCCCTGCCTGACCCTGAAGACTGGGACTCAGGGTAGCTATTCAACCTCTGTTCCTCAGTGATCGGTTCTCCTTTTAACAGGTGTCCCTCCGCCTGTCACCCTTGCCCACGCCCCGCCTGTCACCCTTGCCCACGCCCCACCACCATCCCGGACACCGCGGCCTGGGCTGCGGGCACGTGAGCAAGCGCCCCGCACTCGGGGCTTTAGTCTGGCGCGGTGAGGGCGGTGAGGGCGGTGAGGGCCGGAGGACGAGCGTTTACCTGAGGCAGGTTCCTCAGCACCGCCGCCGCCATCCGACTCTGTGGGCGGAGCGGGGCCGGGAGAGGCGGGACGCAGGGACGGCGGACCCTCTCCTGGGCCTGGTACGGGGCCCCCGGGCGGCGTCGCCGAACTTGAGACCCGCCTCTATGCCGCGAAGACAGCCCCTCCTCTCGGACCTTCTCAATTCCGTCACCTCGAGATGGACCCACAATTCCCAAATCTCTCACACTGGTCAAACAAAACCAAGAGTAGCTAACATGGCCGCTGTGAAAAGGAAGCCAGAAGTTCCGCCCTGACATCATGCGGCCTCCTGTCTCTAAGCGTTCATTGGGTAGCGTTCCTGCCGCTCGATACTGAGCATTCTGGGTAATGTAGTCCCAACACATCCACACACTGAGGAGACTGGACTTCGCTAGAAATGACTAGCTTTGCCAGGAGGGGAGTTGGGAAAAGATATATCCAGGTGAGCTTCACCCCACCTTTAAAGGTATCGTGATCCTATTTTTGCCAAATGCTCTCTGCAGCTGATCACCCAAGTGTTTGGAGACATATAGTTTCGTACTCGGTGAAGATTGGCATGCTCCCAGAAGCTAAAAATACTATTTCAGGGAATTCCCTGGAGGTCCAGTTGTTAGGACTCTGGCTTTCACTGCTGAGGGCACGGGTTCAATCCCTGGTGGGGAAACTAAAATCCCGCAAGCCGCGGGGCACGGCACGGGGGTGAGGGTGGGGTGGGGGTCGGGTGAGGGAGGGTGGGGAAGAGAGATTCAAACAAACAATTTCAGATGCCCCCAAAGGCTACAAAACCAAACGAACATATTTTTATAGAATCAGACACAAAATGTGTTTGTTAGCGGAAGCTAATAAACATTATCTTATTTCAATTCAAATTCATGCACTCCAAAGCATAAAGTTAGTTTTCCAGTCTATGTACATTTGGTCAGGGGCAAGAGAGAAAATACTCCAGATCGTGTTCTGTCAAGGAAGACAGAGGAAGTATATTGGGCCACCCTCAATCAGGAGTACAAAAGTAGATCTAACAGAGCCTCTCCTTGACTAAACTTTAGTCATGCCCCTCTAAGCTTTTTTTCTTTATTTATTTTATTTTTTATTTTATTAGACCCAGTCTTTGGGCCTTGTCCTCAAGAGCAAGAATTCTGCTAAGTGGGTTTGGCAAGAATTTCCCATCCTAAATGTCTGATAGCCACTGATATCTGATGAAATTTCCTCATCCCTCACCATCACACAGGTAATAACTGATCACACTGACCTACACCTTCTGGAAGAATGGTTTAGGTCAGTTTAGGAAGAATTTCCCTGCTCTCTTAGTAATTTTTTATCCACTGACACCACCCCCCTTCCTCCTTGGCTACAAATCCCAACTTTTTTACAAGCGTCTGAGTAATTTTTCTTTAACAGATCAGTCTGTGGTTTCCAAAGAAAACATCTCTCCTGCCTTTAGAGTCAATTATTCTGTCTAATACATTGAACAACACTTTTAACCATTTAATATCTCTTACTTGATATGCTGACATATATTCAGTTCCTTTTAGGAATCTACCATCAATCTCAAAAAGAGGACAATGAGAAACATGCTACTTTTACTGTACAATGGCTGCAGTGTTCACAGTTGGAGGATGTATACAAAGGGTACTCTTGCCCTGGAGATACTGGGAGTATCTTAAATTTACGATATCATTGCTGGGAAATGATTATCATTTCTTTTTTGATGCAGGGACTGTTTGCATGAAGAACTGATGTTATCTCAGAAAAATAGTTGTAAAATGCAAATTACAAACAGCTATTCATAATGTCTATGTAGTGATTCAAAGTAGTAGCAGAAATAGTTTTGGTGAAACATCAGTGGATGATGGAAAAAGGTCAGGCCTCAGAGTTTTAGATGTGATGTCTGAGAAGACATAGAATTAAGCTGAGCCTATGACTACATGACTAGAATGGTCACTCTGAAGGTTTTATCTCCAAAATATGACTCTTCTTCATTCTTTTTTTAAATACTACCATTATTCTTTTTTTTTAATTAATTAATTAATTTTTTGTCTGTGTTAGGTCTTCGTTGCTGTGTGTGGGCTTTCTCTAGTTGCGGTGAGCGAGGGCTAATCTTCGTTGCAGTGTGTGAGCTTCTTATTGCAGTGGCTTCTCTTTGTTTCGGAGCACGGGCTCTAGGAGCATGGGCTTCAGTAGTTGCAGCATGCAGGCTCAGTAGTTGTGGTGCACAGGCTTAGTTGCTCCATGGCATGTGGGGTCTTCCCGGACCAGGGATCAAACCTGTGTCCCCTGCACTGGCAGGTAGATTCTTAACCACTGCACCACCAGGGAAGTCCTGATTCTTTTATTCTTGAAATTTTTGAGCAATACCAGCATGGAAGGAGAGAGTTAAAGGAGACATTCAGAGTAACCAGAGTTGTAAAAATATACAGGGAAGCTGAGATGTCATATTTAGTCCCTGGTCTCACTAATGATCAATGAGCAAACAGTTGGTTTTAGGTATTTACTGTAGGTACATGGGAGACATTGGGTCATAACAGAGACAAAGAACCCTGAATTCATAGGAATTACATTGTACTCAAGGAAGAAAGACCAGAAACAGAAAAGACTAATTGTATAATATGTTATAATGTGGCAGACAAATTGGGAGAAGAAGGCAAGGTGAGTATCCTGAGAAGTACAGTATGGAGTATAATATTACACAGCACAGAAAGGGAAATATTTTTAATAAGAGGGCCTTTGAGAAAACACTTGAAGGACGTAAGAGATGAGCCCGCTGGGTACTTCTGCAATAAATTTTGGGGAGAAGAAGCAGGTGACCAGGCTGTTCAGTGGGTGGAGGCTTCACAGGTCTCCTCAGCAGTGCAGAGTGAAGGACACCAGCCCAGCTGGCCATTCCTCTCCTTTGCTCACTGCAGAGACACTCAGGGCATGTGGGTAGAAAGTCTTGGCTCTGCCTCTCAGAGATTGAAAATTTCCACTATGTTGAACTGGGGCCTGAAACCAGGCATGCTCACCTTTCCTAGAACCCTGATTTTCAGACTTTGATCCCAGGACCTTCACCATCAGTGTCACCAGGGGACTCACTAAAAATGCACATGGGGCTTCCCTGGTGGCGCAGTGTTTGAGAGTCCGCCTGCTGATGCAGGGGACACGTGTTCGTGCCCTGGTCCGGGAGGATGCCAAATATCGCGGAGTGGCTGGACCCGTGAGCCGTGGCCGCTGGGCCCGCGCGTCCGGAGCCTGTGCTCCACAACGGGAGAGGCCACAACGGGAGAGGCCACAACAGTGAGAGTACCACAAAAAAAAGAGGAAAAAAATGCACATGCTCAATTCTGAACCCAGACCTGAATGAGGCACTCTGTGGGCCAGACCAAAGAATTTGTGTTTTAACAAGCTTCCAAGTGATAATGATACATGCTCAAGAAATATGTATCATTCTGCTGTGTATTCTGCAGAGACATATACCCGCATTTCTTGCAATTTACAGGTGTTCTGTCTAAATATGTAGGATTTTTTAGCTGAAGTTGGAAAAAAAAAACTGGATCAGTACATATTTGATTCCTAATATAAGAAAAGTATAAAATGTTTTGTAGTGTTTATGAAGATGTCCTACACTATATACAATTATAAAATAGAATGTCATAAGTGTCAGATAATTAAACCTCTTGGAGGAAAAACAAAGCTTGCAGTATAGGATCAGTTTAGGATTGCTTCTGCACATGGATTGCTATCTGTGTGTTATCTATATGTTAAAATATAGTCCTATACAGGCTGCTTTTCTTAGTAAAAATAAAGTCATATTTCATATAAAGATATGCACTTTGCTTTTCTCACTTAACTGTGTATCTTGGAGGACTTACCTGGTGGCACAGTGGTTAAGAATCCACCTGCCAATGCAGGGGACACGGGTTCGAGCCCTGGTCCGGGATGATCCCACATGCCGTGGAGCAGCTAAGCCCGTGTGCCACAACTACTGAGCCTGCTGCACTCTAGAGCCCGTGAGCCACAACTAATGAACCCGCATGCCACAACTGCTGAAGTCCGTGCGCCTAGAGCCCATACTCCACAACGAGAAGCCACCACAATGAGAAGCCCGCTCACTGTAAGGAAGAGTAGCCCCCGCTCGCTGCAACTATAGAAAGCATGAGTGCAGCAACGAAGACCCAACGCAGCCAAAAGTAAATAAATAAAAAAATTTATTTAAAAAAAAAAAAAGCAGGGAAAAGAGATGAGACTCCATATGTAAGAGCATTTATACTATTAAAACAAAACAAAACTATGTATCTTGGAGCAATCCTTTTGTGAGAACTTGCTGTGAGACATGATGCCCTTAATGTTCCTGCCCACCTCAGATTACTGATTTAGTCACAAACATGTAAGGGGCCTGGGACAATCTACTGTGTGGGATTTACTATATTTTGTAGCTTTGATAACAGAGTGAAGTGGAATTTGTCCTGTAATTGGAGAAGATTTTCATGCTGTTTTTTTCTCTTATGACCAGTGGTTCAAAACTGAGTGTGAGATCATCACATTGAGTGGCCTGGAGTTATGTTTCCCAAACTCTGGGCGGATAAGAATAACCTGATGATATTTTGAAGAGAACATTTCAAGCCTCTCATATTGGAGCATGATAAAGAGGAGACCCCTTCAAAGGCTCCTAGAAAGCTCTGGTTGGTGACTGGTTGCTAGAGGAACCAATTTTGTGATTAGAGTTTGGAACTGTCAGCCCTCTCTCCCCTCACCTCCTGGAAGAGAACCTGGAGTTTCAGTTAAACTCAATGGTCAGTGATTTAATCAATCATGACTAGATAACAAAGCCTCCATAAAACCCCTAAAGGATGGGGTTAAGAGAACTTCCTAGTTGGTAAGCAAGAATGCATCAATGGGCTAGGAGGGTGCGCATACCAAGCTTCTCAGGGCAGAAGCTTCTGCTTTGGGACCTTCCTAGACATTGTCTTCTGTACTTCATTGTCTGGCCTGTTCATTTGTATGCTTTGAAATAACCTTTGTAATAAACAGATTAGTAAGTAAAAGTGTTTCCTTGGCGCTCCGTGAGCTATCCTAGCAGATTATCAAAACCGAGCTAGGGTGGTCATGGGAACCCCCTGATTTGTAGTCAATTTGGACAGAAGTGTGGGTAACCTAGGGATCCACCTTGGATTGGGCAGTCTTGTAGGATGGAGCCCTTAAGCTGTGGGGTCTGTGCTAAGTCTGAGCACCTAGTTTCAGAACTGAATTAAATTGTAGGACACCCAGTTGGCGTGTGCAGAGAATTGGTTGGTGTTAAAAACCCCACATATTTGAAACTCCAACTTCAGTGACCATCAGAGAGTTCACACAGGAGAAAGACCTTATAAGTGTGACCAATGTGGGAACGCCTTTAGCCACATCTCCAACCTCACTCAACACCAGAGTTCATACAGGATTGGGCCTTATGGGTGTGTTAAATGTGAGGAAGCCATAAGCCAAAGGCCTTACCTTCTTGATTACCACAAAATTCACACAGGAAAAGCAACTTAGACATGAAGAAACGTCATATGTCCTCCTTCAGTATAACAACACTCAAGGAGGTGCCTTTTGAGGGTGTCGTCTGCCTGAAGTGAACCTCATACATCCAAACATCAACATAAAT